TACGGCACCCCCGGTATTCTGCCTCACACCTGTATGCATGTTTCCCACTAGCCTCCCAATACTTATCGTGCTCCTGCTCCCTCTCGGTAACAACCTAACACCCCTTACACACCTTGCGTGACACAGCGCATTAGGGTTTCCTTTGGCAATATACACAGATCCGTTCAACTTCACGCGCACCCAGGTTATTACGCACTGCAACGTTCTTCAAACTTATGCTGCCGGTTCATATACCTAGGCCAAACGATCCACTGCTTCCTACCCCGAAACTTGCGCGTTTTTTAAACCAGGTGGGGATGAGCCACTACAGGTTCATCCCAGCACCAAACACGTCAACGCGCAACTACATACTGCAATGCCTTCTCACTCACTTCCTACAATTTCTGCAGATGGCCAAGTAGCTATCAATGGCTTCACTGCCTCATCCGTAAAGCTAGTAGACTCTAATTGTTCTTCCTCAATGAGTCTTATAAATGCAAGATCCTTAAACAATAAAATGCTCATCGCGCGTCCACTGTCCTTCCTCACCGACCCGGACGCAATCTTTGTAACGAAAACATGTTTTCCCCTTTTGCTAAAGAGAAGGTATACTCACGTCCTGAACATCAGCTTTGCATACAACCTAATGTGTATAAACGAGGGATTTGAGCCGCCATTTATAGCAAAAATACAAACCAAGGAAAAGTGTCCGTAATCATAAACTCAGTATGGATGTCTGATACCCTGGGATCCACGGAGACATTTTTGGGTGTTTATAGACCACCCGACACCTCAGCTTTCAGTGACAACAAACGTATGGTTACTTGTCAGCGGTCGTCAAATGTTTTGTGCGAATACAACCTGGTTAGCCATGGGTTCTAAGGTAGTGATATTAGATTAGCGTATTGTTCGTTTGGTTTAAAGCCACCTACTGCCTATTTCGCAACAACAGATGCAGTCGTAGTCTACCGCCCGATTCACATCGTTAACTGGACAACCTTCGCGGTACTCGTGAAATCAATAAATGGGGATAAGTTATTTATATCTGATTCTGTGTATGAGTCGGCTGCACTATTCCATTAGGAAATAATTTACTGTCTCGACTCGCTAGCTCCAGGTCGCCTTTAGACGATCGCCGCAGAAGTGACCAACACCTAGCCAACTTATTCGTGCCCTAATGCTGTCTATTCACACCGCACTTTCATACCTGCTCCAGTTTCTGCCTTGAACCCAATTAAGGGGCAACTACCATATCCACACCACTCCGCGCCCATGTTACCCCACACCATGTCAATTATTGCCAATCCGGCTTGAGCTGCCCACATTGCTCTATCTTGTTCCAACCCTTTTGTTATGGGATTAGCGTGGACACGTCCCGCACGCCACATTCGACAAGCGCACACACCCTCCCTCGCCCACCTGTTAGAATAATCATCATACAAGTAACAACAGTGCCTGCGGCTACATTGCCTGTTATAAAACCTGAAAACTGCAGATGATATTGCAGTAGGAGCGCCTCTAATACTGTCTTGTTATGACACTGCTGAAGAATCGGGAGACCGGACGCTACCAATCCGACACGTACACTGCATGCAATTAGTTCTGTTGATGTTATCAGTGCGACGAATTATGCAGCCTGATATTCATGTATCGTGTATGTGGGCATGACAGCGTTGATGCTTCTGTGCGTGAAATGCGGTAGTGAAAACACGCAATCACAATCAGCTGTGCTTATTTCGTTGACAGGAAAAGCACCAGCAACTCGTTCTTCCACCGGGCAGTTTGCCGTGTGCAATGGAATATTTAAGTTGTACGCGTATTTATCACTACACTGAACTGCAATGTCGGCCTAGATACACGCAACGTACGTTGCATCAGGCTTGTGTGATGTATAATATGCGGTTAGTGAACTTGTGGAGTCTCGTCCCATGACGTAGTACCAGAGAAGATCTCGGGATATCAGAGAAATAAGGCCAGATTAATGTGAGGCCATTGTCCTCATATGAAACGGATTACCCACGCCAGATGAACGCGCAAACCATGGAGAAGTCCATATGTAAGTCGCTCAGGTGCATTACGCTGAACCAACTGATTGCATCGGTACCCAGATAAAAATTTGGCGCAATTTCGGAGTATAGCACAATATGCCAGAAAGTGTTATAGTTATATCATACACTGTAAAGCTTTACGTGCAACCACATTTGCGTGATTATTTTGACCTGTATGCATTTAGCACAGAACATGTTGACAGTGTGTGGTTACATAAACCCGGTCTATAAATGGTCAAGTTGATGAACATCACAACTGCGCACTTATGAGTGTGATAAACCGTTTCACTGAAGTAAACTCTTTTTCACCTAAGATTAAAAATGGCCTCAGGTGCGACAACTTAACAATCGGCTTATCCTCTCAGTGACACCTGCTGTTACATGCATTATCTGCGTAAGGGCTACTTTGTGCGTCTGATAACATGTGTGCTCCTTTCGCAATGAAACTCCGCATTTGAAAACTGATGTTTCACGATGATCTGACGCAAATGTCCAACCCGGTAGTATTGCAATCTCGCATCTTGTCAACATAGTTAGGGCCTTCTACTCGTAATTGGTCGCTGTAAAATTCCGGTCATTTACGATGTACCTATGATCATGGCTTGGTTTGTAGAGCTGGAACTTCATTTGCTTATATATTTGGTAACAGCAAGAGCTTCTGGAATGACATGAATTTGAGCTTGCGCATGTGCCCACACATCATGGCATCGGAACTCATTGGGTGCAGTGTACAACAGCTTACAACATCGCAGTGCGGTTGGCCAATTAAGTGAACCTGGCCCAACCTATCCGTATTCCTTTCTGTTTCCGCATCCTTAGTAATTACCAGTGTTGCGTTGGCCCATTGCACACGAAAGCATGCCATTATAAACCGTTAGAACACACAGCTTAATGGAGCTAAGCTTCGCCATGGCATGATTGTCCGGACACTTATAGCACTGCGTTTATCGTGGTCGGGAAGCACGGAAAAGCGAAGTGCATGCTACGGTGACTTCTCATCTCAGACACGGAAATGAATCGTGTCATACCCTTTTTGGTGCTCCAAATCATGTGTACACTTGATCATATCTGCGGGTAGGTATGGTTCCCATCAAATGCCTAACGCGTACGCCTGTTATCAAGGATTTCCGCTAAACTCCAGTTATGTTAAAAGTACCGACCCACAGACATCCATGTGACTTTTACGCCGACACAAGCTTCAGTGACTTCGCATGCCAGGCCGGTCGCAACCCTCGTTCACAACTCCACGTTGAAATGCGAACTGAGTGCATGCGCGTACTTGCAAGGCTGTGCAACGCGGCCGCACCACCCCCGACTGCCTTGGACTTACTAGCCACGTCGGTCGCAGCTGTTGGTCACACATCCACGTTGAAATGCGAACGGAATGCGTGAGCAATCGTGCGCATGTTCATCTTCATATCACCTGCAATCGCTATTGCCGTAAATCGAATGGAGACTGTAGAGATGCTTCCACATGCTGTACTATGTTCAGTAATCCACTTCTCAATTTTGTCCTCTACCTGGGGCCATCTTGCTTCGTTCCCTTGGAAACTCTTCTTAGTCTTCTATACGTGGCGCACGTCATCTGCTTGCTTCTTCAATTTCCGTACTATTGATTCACTAACGTTAAATTGTTTCGCAGATGCTCTATTCTCATGTTGTACTGCGTGGCTGATGGCCTTGAGGTTGAAATCCGCTTCGTAAGCATGTCTTGCAACAGGTGTCATTTTGGGGTATTTAATTACCGGCATGTTGAAGCAAAGTGGTAAGGCTAAGCGAACAAGCTTCGTCTTGATCGCCAGCATGCGACGCGCTGAAAAATGTTCTCGTGCTTGACACTATATGTTGACCAGATTGTATGTTACCAAGTATTTCTCCGTAAGTACACTGTTACGCCGTAGTACACGCACGACGTATGTTCCACTTGTTTATCAGAATACCCAGTTTGGATGATGATGTGAGTGAAACTCACACAGGCTTCGCCGACTGTCTGGATGACCGCACGTCATTGGAACACTGGTGTGAGCGTAGATAGTGTGTTCAAGCACTCAACTGCAACTAGCGAGATACAGGTGCGTATTTGGACAGTGTTTGCAAGGTGCATTGTTGGAACAAGTGAGTTTGCCGGGTGGAGTAAACATCACAGTATGGGATATCAACGTGGACGCTTCAATAGTTGGTTGCTTTATCGTCGCCAGAAAAGCTCGAATCAGTTGGCTCCTGCACAGAGTTCGCCACCCCAGAACAAGTGTGTCTACAACTTTTCCGAGTCAATTGGATCCATAACGGAATCAAGCTCCTCCTTAAGCAAATCATGTTTCTCCATAAGCATAATCAACTCAATCCACAAGCATATCAAGTGGAATCTAGTGGCGCACACGCACAAACGCATGTCCATCGTCTTGACCAATTGCAAATCAGCGCACGAGTACTCAGAACATCGGCATCGGTTAGACTATGCGCTCAGCCAACAAACCACGTGATGCACACGCGAACGTCAAAACAACACGTGAGTTCAGTCACTGTAGGATGCGGTGCGGACTAGCATGCGGCGTCCGTGGATGGTTGAGGAAACACTTTGACTCCCACTCACTCAGTTATGCGGCACCAAGACACACCACACAGAACTGGGGGCCGGAGATATTCCATCCGCGTTCATGGTGTTCACTGTTGCCTGCAGGCGACCGAACGTGACATGTGCTCCACAATGACACAGTCCCGATTGCCTTCACTGAAAGTAGCTGCATGCAAACTAGCAGACATGTCCATCAAAGTATAGTCAAGAGAAACTATAACGGAATGAATTGCCGAGTTTCGGCAATTGTGATGCGCAGTGTTCAGAGTGATCAAGTCGGAAGCTTGTATGAGAAACTAGGCAGTGGCAACGAGAAACTGCAAAGTTGATGGAGCGAAACCTGGAGATAATGTATGTGACTAGCGATAGACCACGTGCGCGAAAGAAAAAGAATTGAATGATAAACAGCAATTTCTGTGTTTGAAGATAGAACATGTTCGGCGCAGGCAAGGTTTCGTCAGAGATATCAAAATAGGGAGAAGATACGATGATAATGAAGAAAATCTCATTCTGTCGGTGTTAGGGGGTCCTGTTGCTCCAATGATGATGAACAAGAGAGACGGCTCTTCAGATGGTCGAAAAAAGAAGACGGTTCTGCATGTACCGATTCGTCCAGCGTCGTAAGGATATTCCACAGGCGGCCTATTTGAGACAAGGATATGACGGGGTAGTAAGCGGTATAAATGAAACGATGAGGCATGGCACGAAAAAGACCAAACGATCAGTGTAAAAATGAGTAGAGCGAAATCAAAAACGGCATGAAGCCGCACTGAGAGTAGTGATCAGTAGACGGATTTGCTGGAAACCAGCAATCTATAGAATAGTAAGTACTGAAGATAACACTTCAACCGCTTGTATAAAAAACGTCTGCAACAAAATCGCCAGGCTCAGAGAACCACTCAACACATCAGCCATATCGAGCTACGGGGATTCCGAGGCTCAATATACATGGAGTACTGGTTAAGACCCAACACCCAGAAGCAGAGCTGAATACAATATACATTCTTAAGTAATGCGACCGATATGGATATTAGCAAGAAGCCAGTATCGAATGGTATAGTTGTACGCAATTTCCAAAGGTCGATCAGCTCCAGTTGAAGGCAACAAGAGAAGTAGGGATGAGGAAGAATTCAAAACATCGTAGAACCGTTGAGTGACAAGGGGTTCATAGCACCGAAGCAATGCCGTCTGGTGGGGGAACCGCGTGGGCAATGAATGTATTCGGTATCGCGTATTTGGTGCAGGAAGAGCGAGCGAACCGCCGAATGCTGAGAAAGTACAACTCACCGATGGTGACTTTACGAGAAGACAAGAACTGATATATGTCATACAGACGATTACAAAACGCCTGATCGCCGAACGTTGAGTACACCAATGACTTTCCGGCTTGAAGACAAGCGATCATCTGGATGAGACCTGAAAATAAGAAAATGATTGCGCTTTCAATGAGTTAAGTGAACCGGGCGAGTAGTAGATTGCGGCTACACGAATTGAACAAGAGGCGATATCAATTGCAGACAGAGATGATTTAAACACTACCGACCGAGAGTCTAAGATGATAAAAAAACAAGACTGACGTACCTTTCAAGTCCAAGTTCCCTCGGAAAGCTCCGCAACCCCAGTTGCCGGTAGAAACAATTGGTGGTAACTTGCGACGTGGCGCAAGGTCATCTGTGAATGCGCAATAAGCCTGAGGAAGTCAGAAAAGGTAAAATGTTCCGGCAAATACAGTGGCGCACAGTGACTTTGAAAGAGGAGAGAATTTATCTGTGCAATCATTGCAATCCCAGTAACAAGTAGGGACAAACTTGTGATAATGTGGACAACAGAACAGGCGAATCGAAGGAGAATGCGGAAAGAGGAAAGTGGGCGCAATTGGTGTGAGGACGGCACAAACTGTGGAACTCGGTTATACAAGGCTAAAAAGCAAGAAATGTGAAAGTGCCGATGCACAAGTGGGTTACGCGTTAGATGAATAATTGCGAATACTATCAACCAGCTGTGACAATAGAAGGGGGATAAGAATGCAGTGGCATAAGAAACATTTGTTTAAATGCAGGCATCCGGACGTGACAAGTGTAATGAAAGTAAGTCAAAGCAACGCACGCCTGGAAATGTGGCCGCTGCCAGGAGACTGAGTCTACATACGAAGAACCATCACAAAAAACAATAAATCCTACTGTTACTCTCAAACTGGGGCGAAATACGCACGACAACCATAATGTGATTTTACTGAGCGTTGCGGGCCCGTCAAATATCACCGTAAGAAACACCGGCATAATGGCTGTGGGAAGCGGGGTCCAATTCCTTCCCACAACGTAGCAGTGTTCAACCACTCCAAGACGCGGCCCAACTGTGCACCTGTTGACAATGTTCTTTTACAAATTACCACCCTGTCGTGGTAGCAATTTTCCCTAACTTAATGACCCATTGTATCGGCCGTGGTTCGCCCTTTGTTGGTCGTAAAAGAACCTTCAGAGGACCACTTGCCTTTCTTTCTCCGCCGTTAGTTGGGAGTCAATCGGGTCACGTGATTTTGTGTGCGTTGATAGCCGGGCAGCGTTCGCGTCTAAGTCGTCCCTAGTGCGCGTCTACCGTAACCCCCTCTCGTGGGCGTCCGTTCCGAGGGCTCAGCGTTTACACGAATACGTGCGGCTAGGAACGTTCTCACGCTCGCTCAATTTCCGTCTCACCAGCGCGTACCCCGGGCTAAGCTAACGCCATCAGGTCAGCGCAAATCCGTTCGACTGGCCAGTGTTCTAATCCGTTACCGCAAGCGTGCTCTAACCGTGCCAGTGACAAAGTTATCAGGCGTTCTCCCAATCGTAACAGTGGCCACGGAGGTGGGATGGCAGTTGGACACTGCGTCGGACATCACGAACATCTCCGAGGATCTCTGGCAATCCCTTGGCAAGCCACGATTCGAACCGACCTCCCAATCTGCCACCAGCACCTGTGGTGGTCGCGTGCAGCTAACTGGGCAGCTGCACTACTCCGCCTGCTTCCGGGGCGCCACGTTCAACGCGATCTGCTACATCGCGAAGGCGAAGTTTAACCTGCTTGGTCTCGACTGGCTCGAAACCCTTGTCTTGGCCGATCTTCCTCTTCGAGCCATCTGCAATGCGGTACATTCTCCGACAGTACCAAATAACCGAACCGCCGACAGCATCAGATAGTTCGCCCCGGTATTCCAGGATGGTCTTGGCTGCTGTACACGCACCCGCGCCGCGTTACAGCTCGTATCTGGGGCTCAACCGGTATTCCGTCCCAAAAGGCCTGTCCCATAGGCAGCCTTACCCTTCGTCGATGCCGAACTCCAACGTTTGGAAGACATGAGTGTCCTGGTGCATGTGTCCTATTCCGCCTGGGCAGCGCCGATCATCGTGGTCAAGAAGCCGAATGGATCCCTCCTCATCTGTGCCGATTTCTCCACCGGTCTCAACGCAGAACTAGAGCCAAATTGCTACCCGCTACCGATCCCAGTCGACCCCTTCACAATACTCAAGGGTGTCACGTGTTTCGCAAAAATCGACCTGGTAGACGCCTACCTGCATATCGAGTTCGCAACAGTGAGTCAATGAAACGAGATGAAGAGATGACGGTTCTAAAGAAACGGGTTTTCAATGAGCTGCATTTCAATGGCGACCACCTCATGCAAGTCAATGCTTAAAGAATAAGTGCCTCAATGTAAAAAGTACAACGCCACAGAGTTACGCCTGCTGTTGACCACAAGACCAGTACCTAAGGGTTCAGTGAAAATACCTGTGTCAAAGCAGCGCATGTCCCATTGCTTATACAAATGCACGTGTAGCAGTGGCGACAGCTTTGTTGGGCGCGCTATTCGAATGTTCGAATCAATGAACACATTCCAAAGTGGCTCCGCAAATAGATAGAACTTGCGACGATCGCACGCCGGGAATTGAGAAGCAAAGTTGCCTCCGCAATTACGAGGCATTTGATGAGCGCCGGTCACCAAGTAAACCCGGATGAGTCATTCATAGTCCTCATGCGCAGTCAAAGGCCTCACAAACTCAAGCCACTCGAGACCATTATTATCGGTTGGCAGCGTCCAGCACTGTGTGTCCAAAAACAACTTACAGTGACATTAAGCCTATCGTGATAGCGTGCAGCGCATCAATGGGAAAACACTAGATCAATGATTGATTTCATGTGACGCTGTTTTACATTCCTTGTTAGTTGCTTGTATGTGGTTGACGAGTATACACGAGATGACAGTGTCATCCAATAATCTTCGTCTTCTTATTATTCTTATTTGGGATTATAATGGGAGATTCATGTTTCAAATAGTGTAACAGGTTGAAACTGCACTCCACTTAGGTGTACAGAAGTTATGTTGACTTATGTAGACAAAGACTTGCTGATTTACGCATAAATCGCTTGATAAAAAATACTCCGGTCGACTCATGGCGATTCAAGGGAAATTGGAGGCATAAAGTACGAGTAGCATGGCATCACTTTGCAGTCTGAGCTAAATTTCACGGGCTGCACAACCATACATGGAAGATTCCGTTGAAGGAAGGTAAAGACAACTGATGTGATCGCTACACATTGCAATGAAGTCAGCACAAGAGCTGTGGATGGTAAGAAACGAACTAGCGTCTGCAGACTTGTAGATAGAACATCTGAACGCTAGTTCATGTAAGTCTTCCAAAACTAAGCAAGCAATCAACAAGACACTGGGACTAAGTTAGAAGAGATGCTCAACCGAGGTAAATCAATTGTCCTTCAAGGAAGTGTTGCAGTCTTCTCGGTAAGGTAGAGGTTTAAGTAACCAATGTGTATGAAGAAGATAGTAGTGACATGAGCTGCATCAACAATGTCAAAATCTGCGACCAGCACCTCATGCGATCATTTGCATGCGCGGATGCGGTCATTCCATTGTGCGCAAAAGTAGCAGACGCAGGCGTGGCATGCGTGGATAATACAAGCGATGACAAGCATTTATGACAATGAAGACTGGAAAATATATCAAGCACACCCTGGTATCCATGTTACACTGCATATTGTTTAAAATGTTTCGAAATACTGGTAGCTCGGGTTGATGAATCAATTGTTCATTTGTTCTTCGAGCTTAGCGGTTTTCTCGCAAACGTTTCACCACCATGCGAGGTGGCATCCTCAGTGCAGTGATATGTAGCGTGTAAGTTTACTAAATGAATCCTCCATCCATGATCGACCTGCAGGTGACTTTGAACGTGGCAGTGTCGATTTAGGTCCCGTGACCTCTACCCACTTTCCCCAAGGCTAAAGTCGGCGCCCGAGTTGTTCTGCCTCAAACCGCGTGACAAAAGGTTCTTTATGTCTTTCTGTCGTAGTGGCTCGTATATTGAATCGATGTCCATGCGCATGTTGATTGAATGTTTCGTTGAAAACCAAGCTTCCAAGAATTCTCTTTCTTTTCTTGTTTCACCCCGTGCCAGGACTTCTGCTTTGCTCCAATCGAAGCTATGTCCTTCTTCATCTACATGCATTGAAACTAGCGACGATGCATAATGCTTTACACAGGCTCTCTTGTGTTCTTGTATCCTTGTTATCAATTTTCTTCCCGTCTGGCCAACATAATCCCTTTCACAATCTCGGCAAGATATTTTGTATACCACATTGCGTTGTTCATGTGCCTGCAGTTATTCTTTTGGTTTTGAAAGGGTTTTTCTCAACGTGGCAGTTGGTTTGTGTGCTACGATGAGATGATGCTGTTTGAATAGTCTGGCTGCCATTTCCGATATGTTCTTCATATAAGGCATATATATATATATATATATATATATATATATATATATATATATATATATATATATATATATATAAAGCATTATGCATCGTCGCTAGTTTCAATGCATGTAGATGAAGAAGGACATAGCTTCGATTGGAGCAAAGCAGAAGTCCTGGCACGGGGTGAAACAAGAAAAGAAAGAGAATTCTTGGAAGCTTGGTTTTCAACGAAACATTCAATCAACATGCGCATGGACATCGATTCATTATACGAGCCACTACGACAGAAAGACATAAAGAACCTTTTGTCACGCGGTTTGAGGCAGAACAACTCGGGCGCCGACTTTAGCCTTGGGGAAAGTGGGTAGAGGTCACGGGACCTAAATCGACACTGCCACATTCAAAGTCACCTGCAGGTCGATCATGGATGGAGGATTCATTTAGTATACTTACACGCTACATATCACTGCACTGAGGATGCCACCTCGCATGGTGGTGAAACGTTTGCGAGAAAACCGCCAAGCTCGGAGAACAAATGAACAATTGATGCATATTGGTGTATGACAAGTGTCTTATGGACACATCACCAATAGACAACGAACAAGAAAAATCTATGTATAATTCACCAATTAGCTTGATCGCGCAGTATATCCTTGAAGGAAGGAATGCATACCTTGTTCAATTCCCTGAGGATTCGTTCGGGTCGGAACTGGCCCTTAGCAAATCGAAAGTTGGTGGCATCCATAGCAGCCACTACGGATCTCCACCGTCCCCATTCATCACTACAAAAAGGAAAATGGTAAAACGGAAGCTTAGAGAAATATCCTACGAACATTATCTATTCGCTATTTGACACAAAGCCCTATGAAAGAGAGCCGAATGTGTCTGGTCCTGCCGTCAGGACAAGAGAACATAAGTGGATGCGGTGATATGCTTATGGTCATTGCCGCGTCACGAGTCGCAATGTATCAATCATCGACTGAAGGAATGCCACGCAGGGGGGACCGAAGGAATGGAACTAGGGAGATAAAGTAAGTAGACATTTCGGGATGTCACGTCACCGTCGGGAAGTGGGTCAATGCATTAGTGAAATAGTCAACCAATGCAATCTAAGAAGAAGGTAAAAAGGATTTAACTAAGAAACGAATCGAAGAAAAATCTGGTGAAAAGACATGTGGCAAGAAGAAGTGTGATAAGCGTAAAAGTGACAGCGTCACCGTGATTGATCTGCAAAAGAAAGCCCTGTGCTGACTGTGCAGAACTTCCATCGAAGTTTAAACCTCGGAGAAAGTCAAGAACGTACATGTGACAAGGTTGTTTTATTTCAGGCGAAACGCTGAAGTAATTTAAATCAACGAAACTCCAAGAAATAGACCACTGTGTGACATGTCGAGGGAATGATTGGATGGATGCGAGTTCATGACAACTGATCGTTTCACCAAACGCAACAATGCAGCCACGGTGTACAGAAAAAGAGAAGAACTACGGGAACAATGGGATGATAAGACAAGGAAAACGGTACGGAACTCAATGACCGTAAGTGATGATGAGAAGTTGCCAAAAATAGGAGACAAGCACTGGCTAAGCGCAGTACTGTAGGTGAGACTGGTTCCGATTGACAACACAAACTGGAGACGAGAGTACAAAAATGGAGCACAGGTGATTCAGTATGCATAAAAGTCATATGCTTCATTCTCCAACTGATTTTCGATCAGTCAAAAGAGTTGAGAACAAAGGGGCAAGTGGGATGGCTGGCTCAGTCTCCGAGATGTGAACACAGATAATAAGTGTGCTAATTTCTGAGCAGCCTACACCAAAAGCGCGCAAACACTTACTAAGTAGGTGAATTGTCGACAGCCCTCGTAGACATGCAGTAGTGCTGATGAAAACAATGATGAACAAAGGAACACACATATGGAAGGCCAAGGGGTACCCAACAGCAGTCGAAACCAAGTGAGACACCACTCATAACTGCGATCGAAGCAATCAAGACGGAAGGCACACACATGCCGTCGACCATGGTGCAGGCGACATTCAACGGAATGCGATACCGTGTGACGGCTATCGATAAGTTAGCCGGAGCGGCATTTTGACGACACAACTTCAATCGGATACTCAAAACAAGTTTGAACAAGAACGAAGGCGTAGCATTGTTTAGGTGTGTTAGGTCAAGCATATATACTTCGGTGGAATGCCACGGTATTACAGGTAAAAGTGCCACTGTCATCATCACGTTGCTTTTGATAAGACTGTCAACAGAGGTTTAGTGAGAATTAGGCGCACTGTAGACGTGCGGCAGTGTGACTCAAGTGTCGCTGGCTTTTCGTCCATAGCAGTGGTACTATAGTATCAAGTCGTCGGTGAGATGAGTTGGCATCGTTACTAGTGAATCCCAAATTTGGAGTGTGGTGACGGTCCTAGCGCCTTAGCAATTGCAGCGCATGCCGAGGGTTCTACAAGTGCTGCAACCCCTGGCGGAGCTGCACGCTATCAGGAGTGTCCATAGGTTGCGGATTGGGGAATGCCTTCCTTGTGGAGGTAAATGCGAATAAGTACCGTTTGCCTTTCAGGTGAGATGAATAAGCAGTCGCGGACAATCAGCGGCAGCGTCACAGAGCTTGGGGAGTTCTGGGCTTGTTACCTGGTTCTCCATCAAATACCACAAGAGTCCGTAGGACACAGTGTCAAAGTCAATGTGACCGGCTATAGGGTCACTGACCACTCACGTCTGTAATCAGCGGTGAGTATATAACGGAGAGCGCACGAACAACCTTAATGGCCACCGGCTTCTGTGGACTGCTACTAAACACAAAGAAGGCGAAAAAGCCACCTGGATGTCAACTGTCTTCGTTAATCGCCCCGCTGCCTTGCGGATTAGGTCTTAAGACTAAAGGCTCGGAGTGGGATCCCTTAAGTCAACTCTGTTTCTCGACCTAGGCAACCGGGAAGAGCACTGCCCACACAACAAAGTAACCTTCTAAACTTTCCAAATCCTTTCACTGACTATCCGTTTCCCCCTTTTTGTTGTTAACTACGTGTTGTGGCAATGCTAACTGTATATTTAAATACCATGAATCAATGAAGTGAATTAACCGGTTAATGCAATCAAGTGACCACACTGGCTTGGGCATCATTAGTGGATGGGTCAAGCGTGGTGTCATAACATGAGGAAGCTTGAGGCCATGGCAGCTGTAGAGCCAATAGGCGACATCGGACGGCTCGCGTGTGGCGTCCAGATATATTGTAGAAGGCCTCCCGCACATTCACTTGGTGATTTGTGTCGGCCAAATGCCCCAGCACCGCGCTGACTACTGTCTTTCTGACACCAGTGTAGAGCCACGCCGGGCAATGTTCCCGGACTCTCTCAGACAGTCTCCTGGTCGTCTTTCCAATATAACTTGCTCGACACGAGCAAGCAAAATGGTACACACAGAAGGCAATATTCGACCTCGGCAATCTGTCCTTGAGATGCTGACTCACGACTGGCGTAGAAGTGAAGCGGACACGGAGGTCAGCTGCAAAGTAGGTTCTCGCTGTTGCATTACAGATCCTTCGAGTAATTCGTTCTGCTATCACCACCTATGAAAGGCAGTGATAAGTAGATTAAGCGCTTTTCAGCGGTGATTGGTTGGACTTTTGGTGCTCGTGTCTCCATGTGTCTCCGGATGAATTTGTTAGGATAACCATTTTGTTCGAGAACGCTTCGAATGAAACTCAATTCATCTGACAGCGTATTTTCCGTGCATATTTTCATCGCTCTTTCCATTAGATAGAACACAAATGGAGGTCTTCTCACTAGGCCCGAAATTCTGTTACCCCCGATGTAAAGTACAACAGTTAGGCTTGGAATTCCAATTTGAAAATCTCTATTCTCAAGTTTTGACCTTAATACCATCGTCAGCATAAGCAGCTGAACAGTACAAATCCACATTGGTAAACACATGCTACCAGTACCTGAGGTACAAACCGACCATCAAATATCTTCTAAAGAACAGGCATTTGGACACTCTGAAGGATATCAAGAAAAACGAGGATGTTTTGTTATCTAGACCGGACAAAGGAGCCGGGATTGTATTGATGAACAAGTCAGATTATATTGATAAGATGAACACCATCCTACAAGACGCATCGAAATTCCGAAAAGTGCAAAACAAGGAAGACAGGACGCCGGCAATTGAGAAGACCACGACAAGACTTTTGCGACGTTTGAAACAAAATAACATCATAGACTCTGACACGTTTGAATACGCCAGACCTAGTGGAACCATGAGACCGAGGCTTTATGGCTTACCTAAGATCCACAAGCAAGGTGTACCGTTGAGACCGATACTGGACATGTACAACTCGCCCTATCATCTGACTGCTAAATGGCTTGGTCAGGAAAGCCATATCCAGATACAGCCTCCGGGACACTTCCGAATTTCTTGACTCGGTGCAACAACTCAATCTAGCTGGACGGAAGATGTTCTCACTAGGTGTGGTGTCACTTTTCACCAACGTCCCGTTAGAAGAGACCATTGACTATCTCTGCGAGTTTATCCAATTGCACAACATCAACATCGGTATTCCAAATGACTGTTTAAGGCAATTTATATTGGCGTGCACTAAGAACATTCAGTTTCAGTTCAATGAGACGTTTTACAGACAAATAGACGGGGTAGCTATGGGTTCACCATTAGGACCGCTACTCGCCAATGTCTTCATGAGTAAGTTGGAGAACACTCAGCTAAACGAATGTATCAACAACTTGGTTTACTACGGTCGATACGTAGATGACATATTTTGTGTTGCGGATGGTCGAGTATGCATCGAAGAGCTGTTAGCCCACTTCAACGCTGCACATAACAACATAGTGTTCACCATAGAACTTGAAAGTAACAACTCGTTGTCATTCTTAGATGTCCACATCACCAGAACACTAGACGGGACAGTACAAAGGAGAGTACATAGAAAGACAACTTGGACCGGCCAGTATACCCATTTCGCCAGTTTTGTTCCAATGAGTCAAAAACGCAACCTTGTCCGTTGTCTAACGGAAAGAGCGAGGAAAATATGCACGGAAGATACGCTGTCAGATGAATTGAGTTTCATTCGAAGCGTTCTCGAACAAAATGGTTATCCTGACAAATTCATCCGGAGACACATGGAGCCACGAGCACCAAAAGTCCAACCAATCACCGCTGAAAAGCGCTTAATCTACTTATCACTGCCTTTCATAGGTGATGTGATAGCAGAACGAATTACTCGAAGGATCTGTAATGCAACAGCGAGAACCTACTTTGCAGCTGACCTCCGTGTCAGCTTCACTTCTACGCCAGTCGTGAGTCAGCATCTCAAGGACAGATTGCCGAGGTCGAATATTGCCTTCTGTGTGTACCATTTTTCTTGCTCGTGTCGAGCAAGTTATATTGGAAAGACGACCAGGAGACTGTCTGAGAGAGTCCGAGAACATTGCCCGGCGTGGCTCTACACTGGTGTCAGAAAGACAGTAGTCAGCGCGGTGCTGGGGCATTTGGCCGACACAAATCACCAAGTGAATGTGCGGGAGGCCTTCCGACCCATCTACAAGATATCTGGACGCCACACGCGAGCCGTCCGATGTCGCCTATTGGCGACAGCGGAAGCAATCGCTATTCGGCTCCATAACCCCGACTTGTGTTCTCAAAAGAAGTTTGTACAGGCTCTACAGCTGCCATGGCCTCAAGCTTCCTCATGTTATGACACCACGCTTGACCCTTCCACTAATGATGCCCAAGCCAGTGTGGTCACTTGATCGCATTAACCGGTCAATTCACTTCATTGATTCATCGTATTTAAATAAATGGTATATTTGTCAAGTGTTGAATAATAATAATAATAATAATAATAATAATAATAATAATAAGACAAGTACTGCAAGAATTATGTGCAGTGTGGCAGCAAGTTTGCTAGAATGCATGTCCGGGATATCTACAGAGATTTGTGTTTATTTTCACTCAATGAATGAACACTAGGAGAGTGAGAGGTTGGCTTAGCTAGAATATAACGGACTGTTAGATGCAGCCTTTGAAAATGCTGGACGACTTGCATAAACTGTTCACCAAAACCCCCTGCGTTGTCTTCAGATGGGTCAACCTATCAAGCTCGATGTTTACCTCGATTCCGTTATATAAATATGGGCATCCGGTTACGGATTTGCTTGTTATTGTGGCCTCCAGAGCAGAGGCACAAGACGCCTGCGTCTTCAGAGGGACCATGGATGGATTGCGCTGCACCACCGACTGCTCCATCCACGCGCCTCATGCCCAGTGTAAATTCGTAGAAGATTGGGAGGCATGTGGTTGGGAGCCAGGTGTCATCAACGCAGTCGGCCCACACGCCTTTAATATGCACAGAAACAGCATTTTGTCTATCTGCGTAGGGAATTATGCGTACCAGACGTACATGAGGTGCTGGCTGGGCCGTAGTCCGGTCTACATTGGATGGAACCACACTTTCAGCATAGCACAACCACGAGCACCGTGCACTCCGTCCACCCAACAACGGTTCACAGTCCCATGGAACCAGTAATCGAGATGGAGGGAGTTAGACTGGTAGGCACACTGTCAGCATACCCATCAGGCGAAGCCACACTGCGAATATCAAACAACTAACCCAGAATTTGAAGGAAAATAAACATGAAAAGTTGGCATGGAATATGCAGCAGAACTGAGCGAATCAAGTAGAGGAATATTTTTATACAGATTAAGAAGATCTAGTTTAAGTGCAAGTCGGGATAGCCCAAATGCAGTGAACAAGCGCGGTCCGGGATAGCCTGTATATGTGACATCACGAGGTTCTACAAATTAGCTCTATAGTGAGATGTCATAGGAACATCACAACGGTTATGATAATGGTCAACGGTGCCGTTTTCTGCTAAACATACTCCGCCAACTACTCGGTTGCACAGCTTCTCTGTACACATTAAAACTGGGAAAACTCGTCGAGACTACTTCACCTGTGAATTTCCGGTACTATCGCATGCATGCTATTTACCTGCCTTGTGAACACCACAAAACCACACAAACTCGTTTATGTGTGAGGAGAAGGACCTCTACGGCTTGCAGTACTATCATCAAACTCAACGTCATACACACAGCAGGTAGTCGGGCCAGAGGTAGACTCATCATCATCATACACGTTAGCTAGAGGTGGGGAACACCTCAGCTACTGTGCCGCAATACGCAGAAATAGAAAAAAATGCAGCTGGTGCAAGCTGGCTGAGCTACCCGTAACGGATGGGCATCGTTCCGGTAAGCTACCAGCCCGCTACTGTGCATCAAAAAAATTACTATGCAAAATTATATAAGGTTAAATAATGAGATCGTGGTTGGAGGGGAAGGCTAAGAGGGATGGGGTGGGACAAAGAAACTCACAGCACGAACGCCACTGAGGTCGGCTCCTAGCCATATCAACAAGTGTGTCCAACCAAACGTGTTCACCGTCTTTTGGACCCCAACCAGGGAGCCGAGACGTTCCAACCCAGGCCAGCTTCGAAGTGAGGGCCTTCATTCCTTTGGACCAAGTCATCGCTTGGACACCCCTCCTCTTCTTCCATCCACACCCCCGACGCGCAAACAACGCACGTCGAGGGAGTCGGTGGGCTGGCATGCGTAACACGTGGCCGAGCCATCGGAGCCTGGTGCGTGAAATAACGGTGCTGAGCGGTTCAGTTCCTTTTCCTGTGTTATAAACAAGGCGTCGAACACGCTCGTTGCTCACGCGGTGTTCCCACCAAATGTGAGCTAAATTACGAAGGCACCGGTGGTCGAACGTAAGTAGTCTCTTCAGGTCCGCTGCTTTAAACGCAGGTTTCACAACCGTACAGCAGGGTCGAACGTACGGCTGCATTGTACACTCTATCCTTCAGGGCAAGAGTGATGTCGCGCCGGCGCCATAAGTGGCGAAGATTAGCAAAAGCGCCTCGAGCTTTTGCTGTACGATTCGTGGTCTCAGAGGTAGACTACAAACAAGCCTAATCAAATTCGGTGTAGGGTAGATCACATGCTACGAGATACGTGACAGCTGGTTCCATCAACGTACCGTTCAGTGCCCGAAGATGACTCCTGAAAGTCGCCAGTCCACCGGAAGGTATCGGCGTATCCCGCGGAGGTTGAGTAAGTTTCGGCACCTTCAACAATCACAGTCTCTTCTGCTCCCAACCGTTCCACAAACAGGCAAGTGGCCAACAGCTCTGGTCGTAGAACAAACATAATCTCCTCCTGTACACAACCGGTCCGCAAGACACCACCACCGAGGAATTGGTTGGCAAAGTCGATCTAAAATAGAGAACGTAGTGAGTGACGGTTCAGACTTATCGAAATGATGACAACACTAGAAAGAATGTGGTATGCATGCCGAGGAGAGCAAGACAGTACAAACGAGGCCACCTGAAGTGTATACCCCCTTCAAGTACCGAACGGTGTTGGCCGTCGAAATAAAGGGTTCCTATCGAGCACTATAAAAAATGGTTAGGCTGTTAGGTATTAGCAATGAGCCGGGACACAATAACGACGCTTCGCGACCGTGCAACCACCACCAGTCGCACGTGGGCTAAGGATACTGCGATGGTCGTCCGGTCCCTACGCAGACTCGAACCCGCGCCCTGGGATTACAGGGAAGGCTTGTGATCCTTAAGTCTAAGGGCCGAGTTAGCCAGTGAGCGAAATTGGTGAGAAAATGACGACGAGTGACCATATCTTTGGGCATAACAGATTGCTGTTTCACAGTGGAAGCCAACATCGTCCTTGGTGGAATGAGTGAAACAATCAAGGTGTTTTTGCAGGGAAAAGTTCGATTTTCTGAGTGCTCGAAACGCTGGTAAACGCAGTATTCACTAGACTATCGGTTAGACTGTCACGAATGGAACGAAACTTTATGGAAATATTAGTTAGTCTGTTATATGAAGTTTACTTTCCGTGAACCCCGTTCAAGTTCGATGCACAAATTGAAAAGAGAGAGCACAGTAGAATGATCGCGAACAAAGAGTTCCATCCAAAAGCGAAGTTACTCCACAGCTGCCAAAGGAAATATAAAACTCAGGCTTAGAGAAGAAAAGCAAGTACGCTAACATTGAGTACGTTTAATTTTGTTCGAATGAAGAATACAGATTATTCAGTTGAAATGTTATTTTTCTTGCAATTTTGAAGTTTGAGAAGGGAAAATCTTGTATGTAAGTTGATTTATTCGGATTCTCCACCTCAAAATGTTGGAAGCAAAAATCACGGACTTCGTGTCTAGAATACAGCCAAGCGTATAGGGGGTAGAGCAAAACGTCTGATCTCTTCCACGAACAGAACAAGCAGCTAAGAATTGAGTGGGACATCCCGCCAAGCACAACATTCATTAGACTGAGATGGAAAAGAAGCACAGGTTCCCAAAGAGTGATGGACGGACCATTCATAAGAGTTTCTACCCGAGTGCAACAGATCATTGCATTGTGGCATGAGGACTCCCCGAAATTGCAACGAGGGTCAGACGAACTCGTAACTTGGTCGAGCTTACGACTGCGATCCTTCTCACCCAATCCTCCCAAGTGCTGTGACGTAACGTCCACTTCCCGCCGCGCCGATAGGCTACGTTCCCTTAAAAACGCCTAAATCTTTTGGCACCGTGCAACCAAAAGATACCTCGTCTGCATACCGTTAACTATCACGGTGTGTTCTTGTCTTGAAAAGTATACTGGTCTACACATAGTCTGAGTTTTCAGAAGACCACTTTCTTACGCTCTAGCGCTCAAAACGCTTTGCATACCCCCCGGGGTAAGTGTTACGATTTGCAACTATATGTAATCTCCCTCATCGGTCACATTGTTTACTTGTTATGTTCCACAGATATCTCCAAAAGATTATGTTCACCTTGTATTCTCGCTAGAATTTATTTGCCGATGTCCTAGATTAAGGAAAGAAACCATTGTTGATTTTGTCGTTAGCAAACATTTCGATGCATGCATCAATTATACATCTAGGATTAGAAAGTCGATTTGAAGTACACGTTGTGTGGATGGATTGCGACGCGCAATCTCAAAGTGGACCGCGATTCCCATTGAAGTGAACCTTGGCCATTCGATCACTAGGACCGTAGCTGATGAAGCAGCAGCAAATTGGGTGTTGCCCGCCTGAAACCACTGCACTCCATGACGCGTTTCGAGGTTATTTCCTCTCATCAGATAGAGATAGCAGGCATCGAACCCGGGACCATTGAGATGTTAGTTGTGACCGCCACCCCTAAGCCACCGGGTCACGACGGGCAAAGCTTGGCACAACGGCAAATAACAGATTGGAAAGTGAATTTGAAGTACACGTTGTGTGGATGGATTGCGACGCGCAATCTCAAAGTAGACCGCGATTCCCATTGAAGTGAACCTTGGCCATTCGATCACTAGGACCGTAGCTGATGAAGCAGCAGCAAATTGGGTGTTGCCCGCCTGAAACCACTGCACTCCATGACGCGTTTCGAGGTTATTTCCTCTCATCAGATAGAGATAGCAGGCATCGAACCCGGGACCATTGAGATGTTAGTTGTGACCGCCACCCCTAAGCCACCGGGTCACGACGGGCAAAGCTTGGCACAACGGCAAATAACAGATTGGAAAGTGAATTTGAAGTACACGTTGTGTGGATGGATTGCGACGCGCAATCTCAAAGTAGACCGCGATTCCCATTGAAGTGAACCTTGGCCATTCGATCACTAGGACCGTAGCTGATGAAGCAGCAGCAAATTGGGTGTTGCCCGCCTGAAACCACTGCACTCCATGACGCGTTTCGAGGTTATTTCCTCTCATCAGATAGAGATAGCAGGCATCGAACCCGGGACCATTGAGATGTTAGTTGTGACCGCCACCCCTAAGCCACCGGGTCACGACGGGCAAAGCTTGGCACAACGGCAAATAACAGATTGGAAAGTGAATTTGAAGTACACGTTGTGTGGATGGATTGCGACGCGCAATCTCAAAGTAGACCGCGATTCCCATTGAAGTGAACCTTGGCCATTCGATCACTAGGACCGTAGCTGATGAAGCAGCAGCAAATTGGGTGTTGCCCGCCTGAAACCACTGCACTCCATGACGCGTTTCGAGGTTATTTCCTCTCATCAGATAGAGATAGCAGGCATCGAACCCGGGACCATTGAGATGTTAGTTGTGACCGCCACCCCTAAGCCACCGGGTCACGACGGGCAAAGCTTGGCACAACGGCAAATAACAGATTGGAAAGTGAATTTGAAGTACACGTTGTGTGGATGGATTGCGACGCGCAATCTCAAAGTAGACCGCGATTCCCATTGAAGTGAACCTTGGCCATTCGATCACTAGGACCGTAGCTGATGAAGCAGCAGCAAATTGGGTGTTGCCCGCCTGAAACCACTGCACTCCATGACGCGTTTCGAGGTTATTTCCTCTCATCAGATAGAGATAGCAGGCATCGAACCCGGGACCATTGAGATGTTAGTTGTGACCGCCACCCCTAAGCCACCGGGTCACGACGGGCAAAGCTTGGCACAACGGCAAATAACAGATTGGAAAGTGAATTTGAAGTACACGTTGTGTGGATGGATTGCGACGCGCAATCTCAAAGTAGACCGCGATTCCCATTGAAGTGAACCTTGGCCATTCGATCACTAGGACCGTAGCTGATGAAGCAGCAGCAAATTGGGTGTTGCCCGCCTGAAACCACTGCACTCCATGACGCGTTTCGAGGTTATTTCCTCTCATCAGATAGAGATAGCAGGCATCGAACCCGGGACCATTGAGATGTTAGTTGTGACCGCCACCCCTAAGCCACCGGGTCACGACGGGCAAAGCTTGGCACAACGGCAAATAACAGATTGGAAAGTGAATTTGAAGTACACGTTGTGTGGATGGATTGCGACGCGCAATCTCAAAGTAGACCGCGATTCCCATTGAAGTGAACCTTGGCCATTCGATCACTAGGACCGTAGCTGATGAAGCAGCAGCAAATTGGGTGTTGCCCGCCTGAAACCACTGCACTCCATGACGCGTTTCGAGGTTACTTCCTCTCATCAGATAGAGATAGCAGGCATCGAACCCGGGACCATTGAGATGTTAGTTGTGACCGCCACCCCTAAGCCACCGGGTCACGACGGGCAAAGCTTGGCACAACGGCAAATAACAGATTGGAAAGTGAATTTGAAGTACACGTTGTGTGGATGGATTGCGACGCGCAAGCTCAAAGTGGACCGCGATTCCATTGAAGTGAACCTTGGCCATTCGATCACTAGGACCGTAGCCTGTTGTCTTTATCTGATGAGAGGAAATAACCTTGAAACGCGTCATGGAGTGCAGTGTTTTCAGGCGGGCAACACCCAATTTGCTGCTGCTTCATCAGCTACTGTCCTCGTGATCGAATGGTCAAGGTTCACTTCAATGAGAATCGCGGTCCACTTTGAGATTGCGCGTCACAATCCATCCACACAACGTGTACTTCAAATTGACCTTCCAATCTGTCAGTAACCGTTGTGGCAAGCTTTGCCCGTCGTGACCCGGTGACTCAGGGGTAGCGGTCACAACTAACATCGCAATGGTCCCGGGTTCGATGCCTGCTATCTCTATCTGATGAGAGGAAATAACTTCGAAACGCGTCATGGAGTGCAGTGTTTTCAGGCGGGCAACACCCAATATAGATGTAGGAGTTTAAATAAGCCCTCTCACTCCCTACACACTGACCTAGCGTGTACGGCATCTACTACTGTTAAGCGATCAAGATTTAAAGCATTCTTGTTGTATCGCAACTCGATCTTAGTAGTGGGGTAGATAGGAAAGAGGCACTGGTGACCAGACCGTATGCTTGAGTGAACCTGCACTTTGCTGTTCCCACCAATTTGCTTTTTTCATTGATTCCATGTCGTAGTATATCCACGATGGCAATTCAGTTTTGAGAATGCAAATACATGGGTGTATAAAAGTAATTTTGACTTGAATTGGCTGTGAAGAAAATCGCAAACTTTATCGCATTTAGATAGCATCCAGAATTTTAGCATGTCAGTAATCCTTTAGGTCGTTTATCCACAATGGAATTTCCTCTCATCACCACCATTTCCAAGAGTATTGGGTAGAATAATTGTTGAAATTCGCTCGCCGTGAGTAGCCCGGGAATCTACACGGAAGTTTTTTAACATTCAACACGGTTAAATTATATTGCTGATATGTGCTTACCAGTGCTCTGCTAGGCAGTTTTCCTTTCCTTACTGAGCGCAACCTTGACGATGAGCTGCAGACCAATACAGTCACCATCCCTCGGATCGAAACGTTGGGGACTGGTTA